TTGCGTACTCATGTCCGATTTGTCTGTCATTTTGAATGTTGTGACTAAAATTTTATTTGGAACGCATCATACATCATCATATTCGTTTAACAAAGGCGATTGGATCAAACACATTCCATGCATACATACAACTGGCGATATGTTTTGAAGTAATTCACAGATCGGTGCTGGTTTCATGTGTTAATATCAATGACACTAACAATATAACAAATAATAAATCAGTTGGATGATATCAATACGAGTATAATTACAATAAAAGCAATAAATTGAATTCATTTGATCAGAAGCAAAATAGAAGTGATTGAAACCGAAATCATCACTGTAATGAATTTTGATGGCGTCAATAATGTCGCAGAAGCAGTTGATGACGTTTCAATAACGGTTTGCTGACTCGGTTCAGTTGATACATAATGATCTCCAGTAGTAGTAGTGATCTCAGCGGAAATCTCCTGAAATGATCTCTATTCATTCGACTTCTTTGTGGTCATTTGATGGATTTTACCGGTAAATTATCAATTATTCCACCGCTTTAATAGTAGTAAAGATTATGTTTCAGTTAGTGTGCTGCGAGGACAGGAAAAAAGTTGTCTTGGACGAAACATCCGAAATTCCCCGAGTCCCACAATACTCTAGTTTCAATCGTATAATCTCCGAAATGATTATTCTAACAGTACAAGACTAAAACTGTACAGATAGCTGAACAATGGCGAAGGCTTCAGCTCATGATTGTTTTTATTATGAGACAGTGCAGACAAGATGAAAATTCAGCATCTCCAGTGTGCAANTCATGCTATCCTTAGAGGTATGGATGTATAAATATGTTCGCATATAATTGAGTTGGAGACGAAAGCACGCTCATCTGTGCGCACTTACCTCCGAACAAGCTTTGAGAGTAGTATTTTTGAGATTTTCACAGAGTTGATCCTCCTGTTTCGTGCATGTGCAATGTGCAAGTGCAGCGCCTTTTTCAGTTGCAAATGTATCCTGCAAACGCTGTTTGCACTGGTCACTGCACTGATCGTGCACTGCATCTGATTCACACTCCGATGTGAATACTTCCCATTTGGCATTGCACTGAAACAGTTATGAATACAGCTTTGCTCTAGGTGTAGTGATGATTCAAGCCGTATGATTACCGTAAGATTCATTAGATCAAAGTCCTTATCTTTACACCTGCGTCGTCCGCAGGTGATCAGTCGGAGAGCTTTGGTACCCATAGAAAATTCATTTTTTAGAAATGATCAATATGATTCTAAGGATCAGTCACTGTCCGCTTTAAATTGCAAACACATAATGAACTTGTTTTATGATAAGGCTTATGGTCGTTAACTCTCCGGAAAGACACATAATTCCTAAATTTCTGAAAAGATTTCCTTGATAAGCAGCTGGCGATTGAAGAGAGAAACAAGAATTCTATGAATTCAAATTTGAAGATTTCATGTTCAAAACATTTATTGGTGGATCATCTGATCATGTATGAATGTAAGAAATCGCAACTTACGGTCATATCTGCCTCACAAATTAGTTTCGCCAGATTGCAATGAAGTGGACTTCTTTCGGGTAACAAGTTGCACATTTTCATCTCATACCTCCCAGGGATGCACGATGCATCGGTTCGCAACAGAGCCCTTCCCAAACGATTCTGATACAGATTGAGCACAGCGTTTCGGCACTGTGGCTGACAAGTGCTTGTTATGCTGCAGTTTAACGTTACAAATTCAAAAATGTCCTCGAATTAAAAAAATTCTCATCGATGTTTAATGCAAAATACGAGCATTATTGTGGCTCATCATTGATTGCTCTGATTCGCATGAAATTCAGTTCTGATTTCTCCCTCCTTCCGGATCACTTATATGGTTTCCCTAAAAATCTATCCAGGAGTTATATCGTAAATGTTTGGCATCGTGTTGATAACCAGCAAGAGCCGAACTTCAATGCTATCAACTAGTATCGAACGCGGCTAATCGGTTGGTGATTTCTTAAGAAAAACTCGAAATTCGCTGGACGACAACACAAT